TTTAACTTTTTTTCGGACATTTCAGGAATTTTGCCTCATATATACATTATTATTTCAAAAAAATTTAATATTAGAAATGTAAAAAAAAAATTCTTTTTATTGGATCTACCACCCAAGTAGCACGGAATATTGCTTGAATGTCAAGCTGATATCAACCGGGAATATTTTTGTGACATTCAGGCGATACCCTAATGTCCTCTTCACGGGGACATTCCTCGGTGATGTATCTACTATGTGACGGTCTTTCACACAAAAAATGTAACGCATTACAAAACTTACATTCTGCATTTATTAAACCTAAATAATTCTGTGGAACTTTACTTTCATCGAAATCTTCAAAAGACATTATTGCAACTCCTGCACTTTTTTTATTCCGATTATCGTTTTTACATGTCAAATTCTTTTCTTCACACATTCTTTTCATCTTCCGTTGCCGTAGAAAATTTTTTCTTCTTACATGACAAATTATTTTTTTGACGCACTTTCTTTTCATCTTGAGTTTCCATTGATATTTTTCTTTTCCTACATGACAAATTTTTATCCGTGCGTATTTTCTTTCCATCTTCAGTTTTTATAGATAATTTCTTTTTTTTGCATGTCAAATTTTTTTTGAGGTCTTTCTTTTTTATTTCTGTTTTATTACGATTACTTTTTCTCAATCTCTCATTCTCCTGTCTTATTATTTTCTGCTCATATGTAACTTCGCGCCTTGCCTTCCTTTTTCTTCCCTTCTCTTTAATTGCTCGATTTATCTTTTTATCATTTTCTTTACTCAGAAAATTTTTCATTTTTAAATATTCATGTGGTGAAATTTTGTTTACATTATTATCAGCTGTACGAATTATTTTCTTTTCACTAGTGTCATTTAGAGAATGTTTAATTTTTAAATCCGAAGTCCGTTTTGCTCCATCACGTCAGGATTCTTTTCTAACCTCAAAAAACATGTCGGATTTTGAGAAGTAGGCGATTTTTTTAAAAATTGATGTATTAACTTCAAACTTGGTATCTGGGGGTTTTTTGTATCGCTGATAACGAATCTGAAGTTAGATTTTCAAAATCTAAAATGGCGGATCCGATATGGCGGACGAATTTTGAAAAAATTTTAAGATTTACTTCAAACTTGGTATCTAGGGGTTTTTTGGGTCGCTGATTACGAATCTGATGTCAGATTTCCGAAATTCGATATGTCTGATTAAATATTAAGAAATTATTTTTAAAAAATTGTCAGATTTCTATGAAATTTGGTATCTACAGGTTTTCTATTGCATATACTCCACACTCAACACTACCAAAAGGTTGTTGATCAACAGCTTCAAAAACTACTGTTGGTTTAAAAGGGAACAATCTAATTAAATATTTTATTTGATGCACATTTAAACACCCCTCATTAAGGCTATCAAAAATATAAAGCCTTACTCTATCGTAACAGACACAAATTCAGTGACCATAATTGTTATTACCGCTAAAAAGTATTTGAATATGTTTATCACCGTCTCTAATTAGGACAATAAAATCAAGCATTTGTACATACAAAGCACTTTGCATATTGAAAAAAGAATTGGAATCCTTTCTTAATAAATCTTCAAATTTGTACATATGCATGTAATTTAACAATTTATTTCTATTTTCAATAATTTTTAAATCTTTATCACTTAAAATAACATACTCTTTTATGTTGGCCATAGTATACTTCGTTTAATTTTATTTTTGATTGATGAAAATCTAAATATCTTTAATCCTTTTGCTCTCGCTCTCTAATATAACCAATTTTTCCTTTAATTAAATATAACCAATTTTGTCTTTAATTCAATACAACCAATTTCACCTTTTATTAAATATAACCAATTTTTCCTTTAATTCAATACAACTAATTTTACCTTTTACTACATATAACCAATTTTTCCTTTAATTGAATATAACCAATTTTTACTTTAATCCAATATAACCAATTTTGCCTTTTATCCAATAAAACTACCAAATATCCAAAAAAATGAGAGAACTATGAGTAACTATGAATCAGTAACTACATTTCCATTTAATATTGCACTTCTCTATCTAGAGGATTCAAAATAACATAAGAATATCTTCGCCTAAAAATCTTACTCTTCTTTTTTTCTGTTTTCAAAATAAAAAAAAATTATGTACCAGTATTAGACCCTCAGAACAATTACCACAAACAATACCAATCCTTGGACAATAGAGCCTTTGTTAATGAAGATTAATTCTGAGGGGCCAGGTAATAATTTAAAAATTTTTTTATTAAAATTTTCTAGGGCTCTAATACAGGTAGGGGAGAGTGATAAACAGTGGGACATTTTAAACAGTAGGACACTTTAATTTTCTGAAAAACTACTTAAAGAAACATATACATGAATATATATGAATATTTTTTTTTATTTTTAAAACAAAAAGGAAGAAGATTAAGATTTTAGACGATGATGTTCTTATGCCATTTCCAATCGTCTAGATAGAGAAACGCAATGTTAAACAAAGAAGTACTTATGTTATATTCCTTGGTGTAAGAAAGAAAGGTATGCGTTACCTATTCAGTTTTATACTTTCTTTATAGCTTTTTCACGTGATAAAGGGAGAAAGAAATAATTACCTGGGTCCTCAGAGTTATTAATTAATCCTCTTTAACAGATTGCAGGTCAAGCAGGGGTCACCGAAAACCCAGCAGGGGTCCGGACGTAATGAATGAATGAATACCAAGATTATTATAGTTAATTTTCATCATTTTTTTGTCGATACTGGCATTCGGTATTGAATTAATACTGACCGAGTACTGGTTTGCCAATACTGTCTCAACAATATTGGAACAGTATTACAAAAATACTGGCATGCTAGTATTGACTTGAAGTATTACCACAGTACAAAATTAATCCATATCAGTATTGAACCAATACTGGCAAGCCAACTGTCGGCCAGCCAGTATTCGTACATGACTGCACCTACCTATTGTCAATATCGGCGTTTGATAGAAATTTTTGCTTGGGATGTACCATTCTACGGCGAAAAAACCTAACGTAAGAAATATGTTTGCTTCATTTCACTATAGAATATCATATAAATAGAAAAAAGAAGAATTTAATTTTCTAATAAAATATTCTTCTCATTTTAAGATATCATCCAGTGGGAAAAAACATGTTCGCCCAAAAAACGTTTTTAAAACGAACATGGTTTTTTGCCCACTGGGCAATTAGTCTATTTATCACTTATAAAAATTTATATTAAATATTATTATATATTTATATATATATTTATTTCTTTTTTGTTTTCTAGCTATATCAAGAACGGTTTATATTATCGCTAATGAAGTTATTAATATAATGTCTATTAAAGATGATTAAATTGATCAAAAAAATAATTAATGTATTTAAAACATATACATGCCAATTAACAAAAACAATATAATATATTTTTATTATTGTGAAAATAAAACATTTATTTCATTTATTTTTGTCTATTTATTTCCCTCATTGAAATCCACCTAAATAGCATAGGCCACATTTTTAAGAAAGTTTTTTATTAATAAAGATTGTTCAAAATATTAAAACAAAAAATACATACAAAAAATCAATTTTTTTAATTATAATGTTAAAACAAAGTAATGTTTTGTAGCGTGTATCGAAGGAAAAGGAAGAATCATATTTTCTTAATGATTTTTTATGCCGACTCCTACATATAATACATTTTACTTATTTCCACCCAAAAAAGGGCAATAGGAAAACTTCATGCGCGGTGTAGTGCGCTATATTTTGCTAGTAATTTATTATATGTAGTAGTAACGTGCCGAAGTTTCATATGATGTAGTACTGAGGTGGGAGGCTGATTTTTGCAGGCGCGTTTTAGCTAATCAGAACGTTTGGATTTAAATGCCTTTCCCGTAAAATTCTCCTTTGTCGCGTTAAGTCCCGTTTCTCGTGGAGCGTCACATTTACTAAAAATTCTGACATGATGGGCAATTTTAGAGGTCAGATTCGTTTTCAGCACAAAAAAATCTACTAAAATCACCTAGAACTATTTTAGGTACTCACCCTCGCAGGCTTGCGTATTGAATATTTTTTTACAACTTTAATTTATTTTTTACTATTTTTCAATATTTAAACATTCTCGTCCCATTTTTTCAACTATTTATTTTTGTACAAAAAAACTTCAACTTTCGATTAAAAAAAAATTCTACCTTTTACCCCGAAAAAGTTAAATTTATTTTTGAGTTTCATTTTTTTCAAAAATGTATTTCACCAATCGAAAGAGCAACAAAAAAGGTTTCGAATCTGATATTGGTAAAAATTTATTTTGATATTTAAGGAAAAAAAATTATTAAAACATGCGGTGTACCGTAAAACCCCAAAACTTTCACCCCCTCCTTCTCGGAAAATATTAAATTAAATGAAGAAATATTTTTTCTAAATATTAACAACTATGAGTACTACAAATGCCCCAAATTTAAACGTGATCAGAGAATAAAATTTTTGAACCTTGATCACTTATTCATGTGTAATCCCCCAAATACATGTGAAATCTTCGGTTGATATTTCTGAATCTACATGAAATTCTATGTGATTTTCTATGTTAAAATCCATGTGAAATCATATGTAAGAATATGAAATCACGTTTCATTTTCCTATGTAGATTCCTATGTGGACATATGATGTCATAAGGGTGTTTTTAGAGTAACCTATATGGAATTTCACGTAAGGAATTCCATATTATGGAAGTGAGCTTTTACATGGTTTTTGACATAGGATCCCACGTAAGGATTTTCAATAGGGTTGAGATTTAAAGATTATATTTTGTTGTAGAATTGTACATGAATATTTATAATATAACATTAAGGTAAAACTTACGTTAAGTTCCAGAAGAATACTGCTCTTCTCTAACAGTGTGTTAGGTGGTTTTCTTAATTTGAAAGAGACTAACGACATATTATTTACAATATTATGTTGAAAATATTCTTCATAACCTATAAAAAAATCATGATACAGTATGAATGAGAATTTTTTAAGTTTCCCAGCGGTCACAAAGACGTCTTTAGGATGACTTTAAAACATTCAAAAGTTTCATAAAACGTTGCGTCAATGTTCCATAAACATAAAAAAGGCAACTTAAAGACGCCCAAAGTATGTTCTAATGTTCTGTGTCTGTCCCAAAACCGTCTCTAGAACGTCTTAAGAGGAAGTGACACCTTTAAAGTCTCTTTTCAAAGTTTCGAAAGTATATTTATACTTAAAAAAAGTTTCAATTTGTTGCCTATAGAGGCCGCTAAAGTTGTTCTCCTTTCTCTATAGGGCAAATTGGTGGGCAAGATTCCGGTTAGACCGTTTAATCTAGAACAAAAATTCAAAGTTTTCTGAATTTGTAAAAGATATAGCTTTACGTAAGTAAGATATTTTGAAAATATTAATTTTTGTGGATTTTGCAGCTACTTGAAGGAAAAAGTCGATTTTTAGGGCAAAATTTTTTCAAATAATCTCTTGCAAAAAACAAACAAGCCAAAAAAAATCAGCTATGTACTCTAAAGCATTAGTAAATGACGATAAAAAAAACTTTTAGCTAGACTGCCAACCGTTTTGATAAATGTCATTTCGAGAAATACGCGTTTAAAGTTTTGATATATGAAAACATATAAAAAAATAAACTCAACGTTCATCTGCGATGCATGCACCGAATAATTGATCTTTTACATTATTATTGGTTTCATCGTCAGCTTTTCGAGCGACTTTGAGCGTTAATGTTACCACCGCAAAAGAGAAAATAGCCGATAGCGCTAACAAACACTCGAAGCGCTCTTGGACACCTTCCGCAGATTTCGATTTTTAACATAAAATAACTTCAAAATCGCTTTTGATGATATAATTTCTATTCTACACATCATAAAGTATCGTTTAAGCAAACAAAAAAAATCGATTTTTTTCGGGTCAATGGTGTTACTCCCCCTGTCCTGAAATTTTCCCTAAAGTGTATTAAACACGTTTTCAGAAGGTCTCTAAAATGTCCTAAATATATCCCTGAAATATCAAAAAATGTTCTAGAAAATAATGTTCTCAGAGTATCCTAAAAATGTTTTGTAACGAATTGAATTCGTATTGGACGTCTTTAAGTTATCCATTTAATGTAAGAGGTTACCTTTTTCAGGACAATTTCGTAATATCCATGGTATATCTTTAGAACGTCTTTTTCACGTTGTCTCAAGAACATTCTAAAAATGATGTTCTTGGGACATCCAGTGAATGTTCGTGCCCATTGGGTTACTTCAAAACATTTTGGTTCACTTACTTCACTTGGCATTGTATAAAGCTAAGTCATGATTATGAGTTAATTAACAGTTTAAAGGATGTCAAGTTGTCAATAATTTAAATATTTGCAGTCTTCTTTTACAAATTAATTCGAACTATGTAAACGGATTTTTTTCCTTTGGTGTAAACATGTACTTAAACAATGTCATAACTCTAATTGAAATTTTAAAAATTTAATAGTGATTAATTTAGTTAATATGGCAGAAAATTTATGAAACATGCTATGTTATAATATATGTAACAGTTTTAAGGGGGCTGTAGAGTAGTAAATTGAAAGAAAGAAGTTTTTTAAAACTTTCGTTTCTCAAAAACTATGATAGTTAAGGAGGATACCGTAGTTGTAACTTTCAAAATTTTTTTTTATTTAATTGTCCAGACAAATAGTTAAAACTTAAAAACTGACCGAAGATCAATAACCTGCGTCTCTAAAAACATCCGAGTAGTCACTTTCAGAAGCTCTACTTTTAATTTTTTTTGTCCGACATATTGGTTCCGCCATTTTGTATTTTTTTAAAACTGACCTCGGATTTGTAACACTGTGCTAGTTAAAAAAAGGAACAAACTGAGCATATAGTATATTTACCTAATTTGGGTACGCTGAATTCAATGGCGTTAGCGGTTTTCAAGATCGGGTCAAATTTTCAAAATTTTGATCATTTTTTTGTTCATTATCAAAATATAGTTTTACTAATCAAAAAGCATAACATTGACTTAAAACTTGTTACTCGGGGGTTTTTAGAGTGGCTAATTAAGAATCTGATGTCAGTTTTTAAAAATTCAAAATGGCGGACAATTTTTCGAAAAATTCATCAGAATCGCATGAAACTCGTTACTCGGGGGTTTTCGGAGTCGCTGATTACGAACTTGAAGTCAGTTTTTAAAAATTCAAGATGGTATCGTAACAAATTTCTTAAGTGTATCTGCCATGACGGCATTTTGCAAAAAAGTTTCCACCATCTTGGATCCGCCATCTTGAATTTTTGAAAACTGACTTCAAATTCGTAATCAGCGACTCCGAAACCCCCCGAGTAACGAGTTTCATGCGATTCTGATGAATTTTTCGAAAAATTGTCCGCCATTTTGAATTTTTAAAAACTGACATCAGATTCGTGATCAGCGACTCCAAAAACCCCCGAGTAACGAGTTTCATGCGATTCTGATGAATTTTTCGAAAAAGTGTTCGTCATTTTGAATTTTTAAAAACTGACATCAGATTCCTGATCAGCGACCCCAAAAAACCCCGAGTAACGAGTTTCAGGCAAATCCGATGAATTTTTCGAAAAAGTTTCCGCCATATTGGTTTTTTGAGGTTATCTCAAAATCCTGATCTGATGATGTAAAACGGACCTCGAATTCGGATTCAGCGACCCAAAAAACATAAAGTAGGCATAGTCAGACCCCAAGATCAAAACTTTTTTTGTGTAGCTGAGTTATTTGTTCAATAATAAATGTAGGTAAGTTTTATTATTTATTAACTTTTTTTTATAACTATTTTTTATTTATTAATTATTAGTACTTATAATTTAGTTACCAGTAAGTAGTAATATTTCTAACCATTTCATCATATATTGTATTTATTACAACTATTGTTAATAAGTTAAGTTCAATTATTAAAATACTTGAACATTGTATTGAGCATTTTGAAATTCAAATTGTATGTCACGCCAAGTCGAATTTCATTTTCGATATTCAAGAATCTACCAGCTCGAGGAGAATTCCGCTTTCTCATTGGCTACCTCAATACATTAATTGATTTCTTAAGTTTTGTAGTGAAATTTATAAGAAAAATGTTGTTTGTCATAAATTTCAAGTATAAATTTATAATAGTAATATATTATTAACAATGAACATACCAGAAAACATTTTAGTAATTTAATGTTGAAAAACTTACGAGTGGCCTTTACTCAATTTCCGGCTACATTAATGTGTAGCGGGAATTTTTAAAGTTTTTATAATTTTCAGTGTTTTAGATATATAATTGTATGTTTTTTCAAATACAATTTATCAATTTTGAAGTTTAATGAAATATTTTTTGATATATTAACATTAGTGACATTGAGAATTGAATTTTTAAATAAATTGTTGAAAGTGTTGGAAATTTTTCTGTTTATTCCACCTGTGAGCCACCATGTTACTATGTACTTAACCTATGCTTTAATACACAAGCCGGTAAAACGTCATTGAACGTGCAGGACGCTTAACCATGGTAAGTATTATCTTATTTTTTTACGAAAACTTTATATTTTGTGTAATAAAATATATATTTTTTGTTTAATAGGATCCAAAACGAATCATTGCTTTGTGCAAATGCAATAAAGCTGACTGCAGATATAGAGAAATGCATCGAGAAGTTGTAAGTACAATTTTACAAAAAATATATTTTGTACTTATAAATTTAAACATAGTTGTAAACGATTATATAATTCCTAAATTACTGAATTTTTTATCTATATTTTGAAACAAAAATTTCCTAAGATTTAAAATTTTTTTCTCTTCGAGCAACATTATAACTCAACCTGTAAAGATTTTATGTGAAAATTCTTTTCTTTCAATTATAGTTAATATAAATTTTTTTATTTATAAATCTCAAGTTAATCGTAAACCATTTTAAAAAAATTTTTTTGACAAAATATTCGAGTCAATCTTAACCTCACCTGTCAAGTTTCTATACAATGTCAGACCTCGTTTTATTTCAAACTTGGTTTTTTACATTCTCATAAAAATAAGATAGTATTACATTTGCCCGATTTTGACCAATCTCTAATTCTTGTGAATCTCCACGTTTCAAGACTTCCTGATGTCAAAAAAAAGGTTTTATACAAATGTTTGTCTTTATGTATGTATGTCTGTAGACAAAAAAGTTGTCTCGACGATAACTTGAGCAAACTTTAATTAATCGACCTCAAATTTGGTTTGCACTTTAAGTCCACCAAAATTTCGCCTGAGTTCGTTGGACAGATAATTTCGTCAAAAACAACATAATTATTCAAATTTTTAATTTTCAAAAAAAAAATTTTTCAATTTTTTTTTGAAAAATGTGAGTAAAATGAAACACTTTTTCTTTTTAACATTTCTTGATTGGAGTGAAAACAACAAAAATACACAATTTTTTTTAATTTCAAATTTTCAAAAATTTTTATTAACTTACTCATAATATTCTGAATTTTTTTTTAAGTCCAACCATTGTTTTCCACTTCCAAACATTGTAATTGTTTTCAAAAAATTCTCTATTCCATAATAGTTTATATTACGCTGTTTATACCAGAATTTCTTATGTTTTCGAGTTTTACTTTTTTTGAATTGGGTTGAATTCATTTATTTGTCGTTGTTTTTTAATGTAACCACTTGACATTTGGTGGCTAGTATATGTCCAAAAAAAGTCGTACCGCGTTTATGATTTTTGACGTTTATATCTACATTAGAAAATAATACTAAACCTAATTTCATTTAAGAATCAGTGCGTATACTGAGGTTTTCAAGGTCAAAATGACGGACCCAATATGGTGGAATACTTTTAAATTGATTTGATTTGTTCAAAATTTTGTACTCGGGGGTTTTTGGGGTCGCTCCCTCACAGCACCGGATATTTAAGGATATCCCTAGGACATCCTGGGGATATCCATCGCCTTGCGGCGGTTTGGATATCCCTGGGATATCCCAGGGATGTCCCAGGATATCCCCAGGATGTTCCAGGGATATCCTTAAATATCCGGTGCTGTGGGGGCTGAATCCAAATTTGAGGTAAAATTTAAGAAATGCAAAATGGCTAGCCAATAAGGAGGAAATTTTTAAATTGATTCGATTCGTTCAAAATTCGGTACTGGGGGTTTGTTGGCGTCTATGAATCTAAATTTTAAATTTGTTAAATTTGTCCTTAAAGATTCAACGACCCTAAAAACTATTTTATATTTTTTTAAATCTGACTTTTTTGGATTCAGGGACCCCAAAAACTTTTAATACAATTATATGATATTTCTTTAAATACTTTTTTTTGTACCGTTTTATGCCCACAAACGATTTTTGTACTATAT